GTGCAAATTGATGGCAGGGCAGGGGCTGTGATGGTTAGTAAGGAGACAGACATTACTTAGACCTACAAAGGATCGGAAGTTGTGGAGAGCCGTGATCAACCTACTTAATGAGATTGTGCAAATTGATGGCAGGGCAGGGGCTGTGATGGTTATTAAGGAGACAGACATTACTTAGACCTACAAAGGATCGGATGTTGTAGAGAGCCATGATCAACCTACCTAAAGAGCTTGTGCAACTGAATGTATGGCAGGACAGCGACTAGAGAGGGTTAGTAAGATAACAGACATTGCTTAAACCTACAAAGGGTGGGAAGTTGTGGAGAGCCGTGATCAATCTACTTAATGAGCTTGCGTAAATTGATGGCTGGGCAGGAATTGTGATGATCAGTGAGGGTACAATAATTGTTTAGAGCTCTATATGATAGGTAGTTGTGGAGAGCCGTAATGAACCAACCTTCCAAAAATAGAATGAGAACACACTCGAGTGAAAAACATACGCTAATTCTCATTGGATTCCTTTTATTAATTTTTCATTTCACCCGATGCAAGGTAAAAAAAGCCACTAAGACGCTGGGGGAATTACTGAATGGGAAAGGATAATAAACTGGAGAAACATTATTGAGGATCGAACACGCTGAAAGAGAAATCAAGAGGACAGGAGATAACAATTGACGTTGCATTTAAAATTCTAAAGATGAAAGTTGGCTGGAAAGCAAGGGCCCTAAAGAGAGTTCCACAAGCAAGAAGTGCGATAGAAGAAAATATTAACATAGAACTTACGGTTACATATGACCAACTCAACCGTACTGCGCTTAAAGTATGAATTTTATTTATTTACGCTTCTATACATCAAACACTGTTATTTTATTACTACAGCACTCAATAAACGATTATATATATATTATATATATATATATATATATATATATATATATATATATATATATATATATATATATATATATATATATATATATATATATATATATATATATATATATATATATATATATATATATATATATATATATATATATATATATATATATATATATATATATATAGTAATGGATAGCGACTCAGACTGAAGAATCGGAGAGCCGAGTTCAAATCCCAGTCGAATCCATTACATGCACTTACGTGCTAATACCCTTTGGGAAAGGTATGAATCCTTTTCTCCCCGCCAGCTATGGGTAAATAGCAGGACAGACTTGGTTCTATAGCCTTGGATGGCAACTGGTCTACTGCAGAAAGAAATGGTAACCTACTGAAGGATATAATCTGCCTCGTCAGTCATGTATCTTCCGATACATGATGGCCGAAGTTGTATCACGGATGGCTCATAACATATATATATATATATATATATATATATATATATATATATATATATATATATCCTAATATATATTGAATAATAAAAAATATAAAAAATTAAAATCTTCAGACACACTGGTTTGTAGATTAATATTCTTTCGTTTTTTTTTATTATTATTTCATTTAGATTCCTCTACTAGTTTCGGCCAACATGTCCCATCATCAGGAGAAAAATAATTTTCTGCTTGCGGGGTAGCAAAAATGTGAATATATATATATATATATATATATATATATATATATATATATATATATAAGGGATATGTGCTGCAACAATTTATACAAACAATTGCATCACATAAACATTTCTATTTAATGCTTTGTATAAATTGCTTCTTCATGATATATATATATATGTATATATATATATATATATATATATATATATATATATATATATATATATTAAGATATATATATATTATTTATATTTAACAATATATATATATATATATATATATATATATATATTGTTAAATATAACAGACAACGAATGTCTATTATGTTTAATCAAGAGCTGTTCTAAACTCCGTATATTTGATTTAATTTCGAGTGAAATCAAAGACAAAAATTGTGCAACATTTTGGGTTTTTTAAGCTGTTTCTTGACCTAAGCTTTCGGCTCTAATGAGACAACTTCAGATTGGTTAAAGTTACATTTAGACAAATATATTCTCTGTCGAAGAGAATATTTTGTTATGATGACATAGAAGATTGCTATGCGGCGATAACAGTCGCAGAATATATATATATATATATATATATATATATATATGTGTGTGTGTGTGTGTGTGTGTGTGTGTGTGTAAACCCTGGGGTAATCAATGCAAATAAATCTTATTAATATAAAATAGTAAGTGAAACTGGTCCACAATAGAGAGCACAATATATATTTATTATAGAACATAGAAATGAATTACATAAAAATGAAACTCAATTCAACCACAATTTTATGGCCATTTCTTTTAGTACTGTATATATATATATATATATATATATATATATATATATATATATATATATATATATAATTTATCGAATCTATGATACAGGTCAGCCCTCCTCGGTACGGTTAATACATTGCAGCACCCTCAATTTTATTTTACGCCCCCCCCTCTATTACA